ATTTATAAAATTAATTTAAAAAAAAAATTTTTTAAAAATTTTAATTTTTCATAAAAATAAATCAGAAGGGAATTTATGGTAAATAAGCAGGCAAATTTGCCTGCGAATCTCTACAGTTTAAGGGATAACAAGAGTTAATTGTATATATATAATATTAAATAAAATCATTATTAAAATTAGATTTTAAATTTTATAATTAATAATCTTTATAAAATTCTAAATATACTTTAATATAAAATTGATTTTTTTTAAAATTATAACTGATATAATATAATGATATAATTTAATAATATAATTTAATGTAATTAATATATTTCATTAATAATAATTATAACTAATATAATTATTTTTGATTATAATATTAAAAATTTTAGTTTAATTATTAAAAATTTAAAAAAATAATATTAAAAACAATTAAAAAATTAATCAAATAATTTATAAAATATAGATATTTACAATAGAGAATAAAAATTAATGTTTAATCTAAAATTATTTTATTAAAAAATCATATTTAATTTATATAGTAAAAAAATATTTTTTTTGGTAGTATTTTCTTTTCTATTATAAATTTTTCATATACAGTTAACCCTTTCTAAATGCATTCTCTCTAAATGCATATACTATATATTTTCTCTTTAAATACTTACTCTTATTCAGTTCCAAGCATATAGAATTCATATAAAAAATTTTTCTTTAAATGTACATTCTTTTTAAATGCATATTTTTAAAATTTTTAATTATAGTTCTAAAGGAATGCATTTAAAAAGGATTGACTGTATAATATAATTTTTTTAAATCATATTTGTATTATATCAATTAAAAGATTTAAAAATTAAAAAAAAAAAATATTTCAAAAAGAATTTGTAATTATTATTATATTTATTGTATTTTTTAATTAAAAAAATTTTTTTTTAAGATAATATAATAAATATTTTAAGTAGTTCCTTTTATTAAAATTAAAAGTAAAATAAATATACTTATACTTTATAAATACACTTTTTTAAATAAATCAAATATAAATTATAACCTATAATATTTAATTTTATAATTTTATAAGAACTAAAATATCATTATATTATATAATATATATATATATATATAAATTACTTTAATTTATATTATATTATTTAAAAAAAATAAATATATTTATTAAAAATAATAAATATTAATTTAATAAATATAATAATATAATAAATTATTTTACTTTTTAATTCTTTTATTTTATTTATAAGGATCATAAAAATATGTTTAATCTTTTAATTGATTAGGTTTAAAAATTTAAAAAAAATATTTGTTAAATTCTTTTTAATTTTAATTAAAGAATTAAAATTATTATTTATCAAAAGAAACAATTTAAAGAATAATCTTTTTATTAATATTTTGAAATAAACATCATATTATTAAATAATAGTAAAAAATATAATTTTATTGTTTAAAAATTTAATATAAATAAATTTATTATTTATTATTAATTAGTTTGCAATAAAAAAAAAAAACATCTCTAAAAAAATTTTTTAAGTTAATTTTAAATCTAAACTTGTTTTATTAAAAATATATATATTAGTATAAAATAATTTTTTTATAATTTTCTTCCTTTCAATTATAAAGTTTATTATTATTTAATAATTTATTAAACATTTATAAAATATAATTTTAATGAAATAATGTTATATAATAATTTTAATATACTAATTACTGTAAATAATATAATTTAATATTTTGCAAATTACAAAGATTTTTTAAATATTATATAATCAAAAAAAAAAAAAAGAGTTAAAGATTGAGTGAGAGGATTGTACAAGAAAAACAAAAAAATTTTTTTTATATATACTTTTTTTTTTAACAAACTTATATAGTTAGAACCAAAATAAACTGATTTTCGTTCGTAATAAACATTTTCTTCTAATTCTACTTTTTTTATTTGATATAATTATTAATGACTTAATATTTATACTTTCAAACCATAAATACAATTTTAATAATCCTTACACGCTAAAATTTAATAATAAATCGATTAATAATCTTAAATATTAGATAATTTAATAAGTTTATCAATACTTTAACACTTGTTCTTTGTCAATGGTAAATAAGTTAATAAGTTCATCCATCATACACTTAATTCTCAATGAAGAATTTTAAACTTTATATTATCAAATAGTATCTATCTGTGTCTTATGATTTAACTATAGGCTAAAATATGAAAATTAATAATCTTCGAACATCAGGAATTATATTTGAAATCTTATGCTAAATGATTAAAATAACACTGGTTAAACTGTGATTAAAATATTAATCATCGATTAAATACGATCAAATCTACTTAATCTTTTAAATACTGATCTTTACTCATCAATTTTCTTGCTTTAATAATACGATATTGTGTCATTACCCTTTCTCTCTCCTTATCCATGATCCTTTTGTTAACAGCATCCAACTGTTTCTTTTTTTGCTCTTTCTCCTTCCAAAAATTATCCTTCTATAAAGAAATTATTAATTAAACATTTAAATATTTCTCTTTTCCTTACCAAAAAAAAAGAACCTTTAAAGCTTACCTTTAATTGATTAATTTTACCACGATTTTTAGGTATAACAGATAATGATGGAGGGGCTTGAACTACTTCACCAAATTTTACTTTATCCTGAAAATCATTAAAATCTTTTGCATTAACTTCTTCCATTAATTTTTCTACTTTGGCCTTTTTCTTTTCCTTTAATTTTTCTCGATATCTAATTAAAAAAAAATTACTTAATAATAAAATAAAATTATCCATTTGTATTTATAAAAAGTATTACTGGTAAGATACCGTTTGGCTTTGTCTTTAGTTGACATCCCTACTTTCATTGCTTTAATTATATCTGGTCTCATGTGATCTTCCAACCTCCTACATTTTATATTATTATATTAGTTATAATAATAATAATAATAATAAGTAATTACATACCTGCTAAAATTCCGAAATGATTCACCAGGCATTCTCTGTATCGTCTATTTTATTAAAAATTAAAGGGAGATTTTTGAAAAAAAATTTACGAACGAAATCAAAATAATAAATCATATGATTGAACATTCACCTCTGAATTGCTTTTCATTCCGGAAGTTTTAACAATTTTCTTTTTCTTAAATTCATTAGCTTGTAACATTCTTTTAAAATTTCGAGGAATATCTGATATTTTATCAGCAATAGGTGAGGCATCATATCTTAATTAAAAATAAATAAAATTAAAAATTGTTTGGATTAAATTAAGAAAATAAAAAGAATAAAATACTTTGATTGATCTGTCTCTATTCCTCGTTTTCTTTTTCTTTTATTAGGCATATTTTAAATAGAGTGAAAAAAATAAAAAAAAAAGTGTGAAACGGAAAGTGATGAAAATCTAAAAAACCTCGGATTCATGTTTTTGCATAATCACGTGACAAATGCTAAAGTTTGGAAAAGCAAAAAAAGCAAAACGAGATTTCAATAGTTGTTTTCTTTTTCAGTTGTCGAGTGTAGAAAATGAATTGACATTTAAACATTTAGATGATCATTTACCGAAAATGTAAAATCAAAATTTTTTTTGCAATTTCTCATTTTGTAATCATGTTCTCTTTTAAAATAAATCGTTCTCTAACAAACTATTTTAAAACGTTTACAACACCAAAAATAACACAAATTTTGCTCATAAAAAGAAATTACATACTATTTTCGAACCTTCAAAATTCAGTTACTACCAATGCTACAACAAATAAGTTGATATTACCGTTAACTTCTTCGTTCTTTCTCCAACGTCGTCATCGAGCGGAATTCGCTCCACGTCATACGAAATATAAAAAAGCTCATAAAGGTCGTGTACCAGTACGTATAGGTGGTTCAACAAAAGGAAATACAATAGCGTTTGGTTCATTTGGATTGAGAGTAAAAGATGGTGTACGATTATCTTCAGCTCAATTGACAGCAGCTCATACCGCTATTAAAAGAAAAATCAAAATTATTAAAGGTAGTCAAGTTTGGATGCGTGTTTTTCCTGATATACCTGTCACCTCGAAAGGTAATGAAACTAGAATGGGTAAAGGAAAAGGTAATTTCGATTATCATGCTTGCAGGGTACCAATGAATAAAATTCTATTTGAAATTGGTGGTGGAAATATTAGAAAAGAAGTTGCTAAAGAAGCTTTAAGAATAGCTTCCGATAAATTACCTGTTAAAACTGAATTTGTGGAAAAAGAGGATGAATTAAAACATCAGAAAAAAATTGATGAGGTAAAAATTATTCAAGTCTCTGAATTATAAACAACTATTTGCAACACACATATATATTTTTTTTCTTAAGAAAATTTTTACAAATTGGTTTTTTTATACATGTTTTGTGTAAACTAAAAACAAATATCTACTAGATTGTATATATTTTTTGTTAGGGACTTTGCGACCTATCTTTTTTTTAGCCGAAAATAATACATATATTTATTTATACATATATTTGGAAGCAAAGTTTATCTAGTTAAACTTTTTTTTATTTTTATCCGTTTATATATCTATATATACGAAGTTGTGTTTCCTTTAAAAGATTAAAAGAAGGAGCCCGTTGCTGGTTTACGATCGCGAAATTTTGCCTTCGATAATATATACATTTAATTAGTAAATATATTAAAGCGTGTTTATGTAAAAAAAGATTTGATTTCATTACCTCAAAGAATTCATTGACATCTTTAACTGTGACTGTCTTGCCAGATTCTCCGAATGGCTTTAAGAATTCAATAAGCTCATCCCTAAAAGATCATCATATAAATCAATTTATTGTACCTTTAAAACATTGATTTTGTCATGATATACTTACTTGAATTGATTATAAGCAAGTATTCCTAAACATTTCAAGGTCGATAATAAATAAATGATTGAATTGAATTAATAACCATTTAACCGTAACAAAATATTACCTTCGATTGCAGCGACCCTATCCATTTGATTCAACGCTTTCATTCCGCAGTCAAACAATGATTTCTCTACATAATTTATACTAATATTCAGATACGCGTGAAATTGCAAAGTGCGTAAAAGAAAAGCCAAGAACTTACGTGCATCATCATCTTCTGGCGGTTCATAAGTCTCTTCTACATTGAGAATGAACTCAATTTGATGTTTCTTATAAAGTTCAATACACTAAATCAAAAATGATATGTTATCCTTAATATTATTAATTAAATAAAGCGTATGTTCTTTATACATACTTTACTACAACGGCACAATTCATCACGCCAGCCTTGAACACAAAACAAATCGACCTCTACGTCATCATTCACTACCGGCCATCTTTCACGCTTACACACATTAGTATCATCAGTACCATCATTCTTTGACCTTTTAGGCAGCAAGGCTTTGCCATCAACCACTTCATCTTTCTCAATCTTTCTTTTATTATTTACATGAGGAGTTGGTGATGACGGCGAAACTGTGCTGGTTTGGGTTGTAGTGGTTTCATTATCCTTACAGCTGTTGGGAGGCTGTGACATTTTATCACCGGTGCTGGAATCGTTGGAATTCTCGTCAACCTCATTAACTTGATGGGTTTTTTTATTGTATTGACCAGAGAAAAACATGTGTGAATTGAGGTAAGGCTTTAGAAAAGAATATTTGTCAAGGCATTTATGACACATGAATTCTTCAAACGTATCCAAGTCAGGTATCTAAAAGAAACGAAATAGAAATTAAAACCAACAATACACAACGATCTTGTGTAACGATTATGTAAGCAACACAAGTAAAACTTGTATAAATAGGGTAAATGAATGATAAGTTTGTGGACACGGTTTTTTGATCGTACCGAAAACCTCTTCTCCTCTTGCTTTTCTCCACTAATACAATTTTCATGAAACCAGTCTTCGCATATGACACACTATAAAAAGAAACACTTTTTTGTTATTATGTTTTATGTAGTAAACTTTACATTTTTGAAGCAATACATTAGAAATTTAAAAGATATATAATTACTTGAAGCATATTATTCTCTTCTTTCTCTGGATCGTAATCAACTTTGCACCTTTAAAATGTTTAGTTTTTTTTAAATAAATAAAAAATTTATTTAAAGAGCTTGAAAAAAAGAAGTTTTTGTTAAAATATGATGGATGCTAACCAACAGAAACGACCTTCATAATTATGATCATATTTATTATGTTCATTCAACGTGTTTGGTGGTTTCGCTTCGAGTTTACAAACGGTTCTTCCAAGACGAGCGGTTCCACAATCGCACTTGAAGTTACGTTTAGGGAACAGTTCAACGAGCTCATGGTCTATGTTGAAAAAAGTGATAGATTACCTCATGTAACTTATTTACTAATGGAATTTCATGCTATAGCATTTTACTACTTTACCTGCATGGCAAGAAATTGAACATGAATAACAAACACCACCTGGCCCATACCCTTCATTTGGTTTACAAGTTTTACAAGCGTAAACTAGTTGACGTATATACCCTTTATTATACGTGCACTCGTCAAATTTCCATGATAGTATTTCTCCCGCTTCCTCCTCTAACAATCTTTGTCTTTCTAAAATCTCCTGTACTGTCAACGTTTCTTTCGTGTCTTTAGAATTCATTGCAGTTGAATAAAGGAAAAGTTTTTTTTTTTAAAAAAAAAAAAAAAAAACGGAAAAAATCTATTAAGCAAAACTTTTTTTTCATGAAACTTGTTTATACTAGTAGTATGTTGTAAACTGTAACACCTAGTAATGTGACTAATTTTGGTCCAAATGATTATCTCACAAATGTGTAATTTAATTGGCTTACGGTTAATTGCTGTAAAATTTTTTTTTTTTTTTTAAAAAAAAAAAACTCAAGTGACGTATCGTGTTCTTTCTAAAAATACAATTTTACACGTTCTGTACTTTAACGCGAATGTATATTAAGTTCGACATAACTCAAGTATTATATATTAAGTGCAAAACAAATTTTCCTTTTTTTTAAAGAAAAAATATTATTATATTATCAACAAGAATTCTTCCACTTAATTTATAAAACTGATGATTTATTATCTTCTGCAAAGTTCATTATTTATTTGTAAAAGTTTTCTTTATTTGAGAACTATTTACATTTGTGGGTTCGGCTTTAAAATAATACCAGAGTTAATTTTTGCCTATTTATGTGTCATGCAGATCATATAGATCATCTGTCGATCATTTTTCGATCATTTTATACATTTAATAATTATTTAAAATATCAAAACATAAAGCTAAAAATTAACACATACTGATTACAGGTTTTCAATTTCTTATTTATAAGAATTAAATATCCTTTTTTTTAACAAAGTAAATAGCAATTATTCTGACTAATTGTTAAATAGTGATAATTTTTCTTTTTTAACACTGATACAAACTTTCTTTATAAAATAAAAATTTTCATAAGTGATAAATAAATTGTTGTACTTGATGTATTAGCATTATTTTCAATAATTTGTAATAATACCTAACAAATCTATTACATTTTTTTAAGTTATATACTATAGTTAGCATATAAATACATTTTCAAAATATTAAAAAAATTAACCTGTATACTTATTAATACTTAATAAAGCTTTAAAATTAATCCTAATTCTTTAACATTTTTTGGTAATTTGTAAAATTTTATCTTAAATATATTCTTAAAATAATATAATTTTATGATTCTATTTTATAGCAGATGATTTTTATAATTTTTTCCTGAAAATTCTGTTGAAATTTTTAATAAAATGTATAATAAAATAATATAAAATAATTTATTAGCTATTTTATAAAAACTAAATTTACAAAACTTTTTATATTCATTTATGAACTTTATAGATTCTTCTGAGGTTATAGTTTTTAAATTTAAGTATATCTAAATAGATTTTAAAATTTTTATTTATTATTAGAAAATTAAAATAGAATTGTTATTTTATAATTAAAAATAAAATATTAATAAATCAGATAATAAATTATTAATATTTTATTATCTTAATTATTAAATTTAATAATATAATTATTTAAGATTATTTTATTATCATCTTAATTATTTAATTACTAATTTTATTATTATACTTATAATAGATTTTATAATTTTTTTAGAATTATTAATATTTCAGAAAGTTAAAAAAATAATTTATTATCTTTATAATAATTTTTCTATAAAAGATATCAAAATATTAATATGAT